ATAAGTTTGATGGGATGAAATAATATTTTTCTACCAACCAGGTGGTTTCCCCTAGAACTATTAGCTGAAAACTTGGCATATCTCAGCATGGTGTACAGCGTGTCCTTTACAAAAAAAGGAAACAGGACAAGTAAAGGGCAAAAGAAGTGGCAGGCCTTAAAACTATCTATAACAGATTAAATATGAAAATATATGAAACAGAGTCCTGAAACAGACTCTGAGAAATGCACCTGGCCCTTCAGTTGATCTACTGTTTGCTGAAGCCTCATCATAAAATGCCCTCCCCAGAGCTCGGACATTATTGAAGCATTGCAGGATCATTTTGACAGAACAGAACAAAGGGCAGCCAACATCCAAAGAGGAGCATAGAATGTCCTCCAGGAAGCCTGCAGAAATAGTCTTGAAGAATACTTAAAGAAATTACAAGAACGTTTTCCTAAGAGAGGTCAGGATGTGCTGAATTGGCTTTCATGCTCATCAGAATTGTTTTTACTTTATGTATTGTATTTCCATTTATGATTGCACAGTTTACTGCTCCCCATTTCCCATTTTCTTAGCACAGTATAAAGAAACAAGGGCTGGCTGAAGACTTTTGTATAATACTGTAGATGAATATTATAAACATATTGTACTTTAAAATACTCAGCTGATCTTTGTCCACTCCTGTGCAATAGGCTGAGTCATCCACTGCTCTCTCCCCACATCGCCAGCTTGGTCTTAAGCCTGAATCTGTGAGAGCTACACCCCAGGCTTGACAGCCTGTTCTGACTATGACACAGATATTATGCAGTATTGCTGGTACTGCTAAAAATACTGATTTCATTTTCACAATCAATGTTCAGAATATTTGTTGACTACTTGAATGCATGAGTTCAACTAAATCTATGGGGAGGCTTGTTATTCAGGCCCTTATACTGCAAAAGATCATCTCATGATCATTTGGCTGGACTTACTATTCCTGCTGTCTGAGAGAACAATGCAATCTGTGATTGGTTAACTTGTGGGCAATCTCCCCTTTATTTACTCTACCTGCACATTCTCATTCTGTTACTGGGAGAAGATATCACATGCTCTTTTCAGAGAAGTTCAGAGACATTATGACATGCTTACTTAGTTAGATTTGCTTCTGAATTTCTTTGTAAATTTAGCTGAAGTCATGTGCTGATTTTGTCAGATGATGTTGCGTTTATCAAATTCGGATCTTAGCAGAGCGGCAGATTGGAAATGGCTCGGAAGTTGCTGATTAAAATGTATTAATGGGTTATTTTATATGGGCCTATTTTCTGATAATAGAGTCGGAAAATATGTAAATGAGAAGGCTTTGTTTGGGAGTACTACTTGTAATAGAATCTCAGTGTGTTGGAAATGTGGTGTACTGCTGTAAAAAAGGGGAGATAGTGATTTGGTAAGGCTCGGTCTACATCGCTGCTGTGTCTCTTATCATTATACTTTTATGAAGTATGAAAATGAAATCCATGTAGACTCTTAGGTTCATATCAGTGGTTTCTGCTGATGTTAAAATTGTATTACATTTAAAGCTGCACTTGTAGTGTGGTTTAGTTGAAGATGGTCCTTGATTTTTCAGTGTGGGTGAGAAATGTGACATTTCGACCAATTTTCTCTCTAATCCAGGGGAAGTGCTTAAAAACTCTGAAAGGTCACAGCAACTACGTCTTCTGCTGCAACTTCAACCCCCAGTCCAATCTTATTGTGTCAGGATCGGTGAGTACCAAGCTCTTGGCAAGAAACAAGTCCTAACTAAATGGAAAGCAGATGTTAGACCTTTGCGAAAGCTCTCACTTTGAGCATTAGAAGCAGTTTCTGAGTGGTTTTCCAAAAAATGATTATTTTTTTTCTCTTCCGTTTCTAGTTCGATGAGAGTGTAAGGATATGGGACGTGAAGACTGGGAAATGTCTGAAAACGCTGCCAGCTCATTCTGATCCAGTCTCTGCTGTAAGTTTATTTTTATAATTAATTAGACAAATGCTCCGGATTTAATATTAACACTGTATTAAAGGCATGATGGTCTGCCTCGGCTTGCAGGTTCACTTCAACAGAGACGGCTCTCTGATTGTGTCCAGTAGCTACGATGGCCTTTGGTGAGTACTTGGATCCTCCTGAGACTCTCTGGCCACAGTTCAGGGAACATGGGTGCTTTTTAAAAGAACAAGCTTGTCTTTGATAAGAACTGGAAATGCTCCATGTCTGGCATATTTGCTCTGTGCTCGAGCTAAAAAGAATCCCTTATCATCACATTGTAGCTTATGTGGATGACTTTCTAGTCACCCGGTGTGTGATTTTTATTTTTTTTTTTATTTATTTTTTTTTTAATACACGGAAATGTCTCTCAGTTAATTGTGTTATCTTTCATTCACAGTCGAATCTGGGACACAGCATCAGGGCAGTGTTTAAAGACACTGATAGGTAAGATCAGTCACACACGTGTTCCAATTCTTCTTGTTTGGTTTGATTTGTTACAGAATGTGCTAATTAAACGATTGATTAGTGACAGCAAATCTAATTAGTTTTGTATTGAGGCATGAAAAATGTAATCAGACTGAAGCTTTGAGTTTTTTCAGTTTTGTTTTGTTTTTTTAAACGTGTCTTTGTGATCAATGCATTCTTGTTTTTTGTGTTTCTTAGATGACGACAACCCTCCTGTGTCGTTTGTAAAGTTTTCCCCCAATGGGAAATACATCCTGGCTGCTACACTGGATAAGTGAGTATAGACGTTGCTCAGTTTTGTGGCTTTCCTTCACGACGCTTGCTAATTTTGGGGGGGGGGGTCTCTCTCACTGTAAAGCGCCTTGAGGTGAGTGGTGTTGTGATTTAGTGCTATATAACTAAATCTGAATTGACGTCTTAAGGAGCTGGACAGTTTTTCACAAGCACCACTTGGATTTCACCAGCAGGAGGCAGCACAGCATCACAGTGAGCTGCTGTCTGTTTATTTGACTGTCGATTTTAAACTTCTGTTTGTATTTCTTTTAGCACGCTGAAGCTGTGGGACTACAGCAAAGGAAAGGTAATTGCCTTTGAAAGCTGTTGAAAGCCTTGATTATCATTCAGTTCTTTTATTCTAACTGATTTAATTTGTCGGTGTTTATGTATTAAGAGTTCAGAAATTTTAAATCATAGATGCACATTCCCAGTAGTGTCCTAGCCTGAGTAAAGATGGCATTTTATTTTGCTTTAAGATGTGAAATGTTTGTTTAGTAATGAATAAAACTGCAGATTTTACAGTTTTGTCATTTTTGATTGTATAACAGATACAAATAACTTCTGCTTTTCTAACATTTCAGTGCTTGAAGACATACACGGGCCATAAAAATGAGAAGTACTGCATATTTGCAAATTTCTCTGTCACTGGTGGGAAGGTAAGATCATTTCTTTGAGAAAATGAATGTTTATATTTTGTTTTTATTGGTGCTTTTAGTTTCAGTGTTACTTTAAAATTACAAAATGGTCCTTTTGAAATCACTTATGTGTGCAAACATAACTCTGAGCCTAAGTGCCGCTGCTCTTTTGCAGTGGATCGTGTCGGGCTCAGAAGACAACATGGTTTATATCTGGAACCTGCAGACGAAGGAGATTGTGCAGAAACTCCAGGGCCACACAGGTACTGCAGATGCACTGTGACTGAAAACGCAGATAGAATAGCATTTTTGTATGGGGACTAAAAGTCTAGGGCAGAGTTAGTTGTCTTTTAGAATCACTTTGCATTTATTTAATTAAATGTTTGAAGGCATGGCTCATTTTTAAGACAGAAATTTGCAGCTGTGTTTTAAATATTGTGTTCTGGTGCAATCTGTTCTTTTAGTTTGTCATTCTTTAAATTTTCTTCCTGCACTTTTTTCAGATGTTGTCATTTCGACTGCCTGCCACCCCACAGAGAACATCATCGCATCTGCGGCTTTAGAAAACGACAAAACCATCAAGCTATGGAAAAGCGACTGCTAAGCCATTTTGGATCTTTTGGGCCACTTGTGTTCCTTTGTTTTTTTTTTTTATATATATATATAATTTTCCTACATTTTATTGTAAGACAGGAGGACTTTTGTTTTCTAACAGAGAGCTCCTGCTGGATTGGAAGAATGAAATTAAACTCCATGAAATGTCATGACATTCAGCCAGGAGAACCAAACCAGACACATCATCCACACAGTTCTGCAGCGGACGTTATCCCCTCATCAAAGCATGTGCCAGATTTCGATGTCTCATTATGGAAATTTGTGATTGTTTTTTTTTCTCTCCCTCGTTTTACTTTGCAGCAATATTCTGGTGCTTCAGTATTTTATTTTTTTAAACACTGCATTAACCTCGATGTCACTGCCTCATAACAGTCTTCACAAGCACGATTCTAGTCTTGTACAATGAATATAATGGTTATTTGGTCCTTTGTGTTATTTTATTTTCTGCCTTTGTGTAACTCAGTAGTACCATTTACAATCAGTGACTTTAAAGTAAAGAGGTGACGGTATACCTGAGGACAACTACTTAATACTTAAGGACTTTGGATCTTAAGTGAGTGCTTTTTGCCCTAACAAGATATTTTAAAAAACATTTTTTTTTAGGGCAACAAACCAGAATTTGACGTAAGTGCAAACATTGAGAATGTTTACAATTCTTCAAGATTTGCTACAAAAATCAAAATGACCCTGAATGACCCTTAAAAAAAGAAGTACTTACTAACACTTGACAGTTCACAACAGTGACCAAATGCAGTTATTGTGTTCCAGTATTTGTACATACAACAACGCCACGTGTCGCAGTTTGATTACTTTAGCTGTCTTTGTGTTTTTATGTTCTCTGCTTGACTAGCTGATAGTTCTGCACATGAAGCCAGCAGGCTGCTTTTCCTGTAGTTAACCTGGATTCTATGTAAAATATGTTCGCATCTGACAGCTGTAATTCACATCTGAATAAAAACAGTTTTTGTATGTTTCACCCCGAGTCATTGACAGTTTTATTTCTGTACACCTAACACAAATCAACTGGAAACGCTCACTTAAAATTTTTTAATAACCTTTTTTTTCCTGTCCATGAATGAAGAACATCAGAGAACAACCCACGAAGAACAGATGACAAAATTCCATTTTCTTAAAAATAGACAAAATATAATGAAAGAAGATACTCCCATCTTGCAGCGACAGGTTAAAACATGGCAAAGTAAAAGCGACACAGTTACCAAAGTGCCAAAGCTTACTATTACTCCTGTCTTACATTTTCAATCTGAAAATTATCTCTTGCCGTCAAATAAGCTTTTCCACAATGTACATAACAGCCCACAGTGAGAAGAGAAAGAACAGAGTACATAAGCAAGGGATAAAATTACCTTTGTACAAAAATAGAGCTTTTACCAAGTGTTGTTTTTTTTTAAACTACAACATTTTACTGTTTATGCCACAAAGAAAGCAGTGATTGTGTCACATGTTCAGCTTTTCCTGGTTACTTTTTTTTCTTTTTGAACATACAATTGCTAAGCAACACATACATTTCAGAGGGTTTCAAATCTTAACCATTTTTTCCCCTCTCTTTCATAGTTTACTAAGGTCCCATAAACTGCTGAGAAGCTGGTTTGAGTTTATAACTGCTGCAATTCTGCTGGTTGATCAGGATTTTTTTTTATTAAGGTCAAAATGCAAACAAATCCTCAGGGGGGGGGAACGAACACCATTAAAAGCTTGAAGAACACCTGCCGTTTGGTCTGAATCACTCGTCTCCTTCTTTCAATGTTGGAAATCCTTAAGGAATAGAGCTGTCGATATATATATTTATAAATATATACACATATACATATTAACAAAATATAGCATTCAGTGAAGGTAATCATTCTTTGCAGGTGACCATTTCTTTCTTGTCAAGATCGATTTATGGCTTAAGATAGCTGCTGTCACTAATCACAGTAGAAGGAGACATCGGACTCAAAAGAACAGGAGAATAATCGTTATAACACTTGGGTCACCCGGTTGGAAACGAGCATTGGATTGTTTTATCATCTGCTTTTCTTGATGAAAATCAGCCTCTAAAAATAGTTTCCTCTGAAAATGTATGAACGTTTTTGATTTAACAGACAAACAAATATGTATATATAGATATATATCTATATATATATATATTTTTTTTTTCAATAGTATAAATACTGTAAGCTCAAGCTGGCAGTCAATACTGTCACATGGATAGGTTGTAATATTCAGGCCACCTCAATGAAAATGGAGAATAAGAATCAAACACAAAGCCAATAGGTCTTTTTGATGTTATTGCTACTTTACTCAGTTTTAATAAGCACAGATACTGAGGTTTTGTCTGAGCCAAAGGAATATTGATGATAGTAATGCGGTTAGAAAGTGCCTTCTTTTTGTTAACAACAAAAACAACAACAACAACAACAACAACAAAAATTCAAGTTATGTTGCAGCGCTCTTTCTCTTCCACTAGAAGGAGCTCGCAGCTCTTAAACTGCTACTACATCCCTCCCTTTCCTCTTACCCAAACTTCTCCCTCACCCAAAGTAAACCTTGCAGTCCTGCTTGAGCTGTATAGCATCTGACATTTCAGAGCCAGCATGTATGAACTGACTTTTTGATTTTTTTCATCGTAAGACAAAAGAGATCATTGGCCATCTGGGGGATCAGTTTCACAGAGGTGGAATGACATTTACAAGTTCTCTCCCAGCGCGTGCTATTTATTATAAAACTAGCACCAAATAATGATGAAAAACTGACATACGGACATTTTACAGAATGGTTTGTTTTTTTTTTCTGAGTCAGAAATCTATGGAGTCTTAATGACCCTCAAAGCGTGATTATAATTGATTAATGTGCTAATAAACTCAACATCAGTAGCTGACAGCTAAACTAAGCTCCGATTGCTTCCCACGAGTTTCATTTTTCATAAACCAACTGCGAGACTGGATATGATGAAATATACATGAAACACCAGCTGATTAAAAAAAATTGTTTTATCATTTTAAGCGTGGATTTTATTTCATACGCTTAATTTACTTACATTTTCAGTGCAATTCAGATTTTCATTTATCCATTACTATCAAGCAAATTATTTTCAAAGGGCACACTCTCAAGACTCCATACATTTCCTCAGACCCGATTAAAAATCTGACTTTTATCAAAATGTAATGAAAACACAGTGCTCGGGTTTCTTTTTTTTCTTCTTTTGTTTCCCAGGTTCAGATAGTGTAAAGGTGCTTATGAAAGAGTAGCAAAGATGCAGATATAGAAAGAAAATCCTATTTAAATCTTTTTAACCATCATAAGTATTATTATTATCTGCAGTAGCAAAGCTGGTGTTTTTTTTTTTTAAATTTGGTTTTTTACACTTGGTGAGTTTGTTTGAAATCCTGGTGACACCTGCTGTAGTGTGACCTATCACAAAGTTTACCTTTTAGTACTTTCGCTGGTGCTTATATGTCCTTCTGTTTCTGGGCAGATTTTTGTCATCAAGGGTTACCATGTCAGAATTTGTTTTAGCCCTTACTTATAATGGCCACATTTACTTGAGAGGCTTTGCCTTTTTACCAGGCCACCGCTGTAAAGAGCAGTTGTCTCTTAATAATTTGCCTGGTTAAATACAAGTTTGAGTTCATTTCAATCAAATGTGAGTAAACCAGAGCTAAATAACCCCTAAATATCTTTAAAAAAAACAACAACAAAACCCTTGGTATTATTTTCTCCTGTCAGTAAAAAACTTGCAGTGGACCCACATTTGACAAACACATTTCTTTAAAAGATCTCAGATCTGTGGACAATCTTTGGAAATGCAATTGATGCATAGTTTTGCAGCAGCTGCAGCATTTACAGAAAAGCAGAGGAGGGGGGAGAAAGCAGAATATGGGCATAAAGCATATTTATACACAACATGTATATATGTAGAAACATGGATATTTAACATTTCAGTTCAACTTATACGACACTTGGTTGTCCAGAGAAGTGCAGAGAGAGCGAGTGTGTTTGTGTGTGTGTGTGTGTCCCTCTGAGGTGTTAAACAATTGTGGCGTTCCTGATTGGGTTGGGGCCAGAGTCCACCTCAGAGGTCAATTACATCGACATCAGCTCTCTGTTTAGAAACCCGACTCCACGGTCATGAGGTTAAGTGCCAAGTAACAAACAAACAAACAAATAATGGCTCCTGCTGCAACAGCAACAAGTACATCTCTCACATACTGTATATGGTCTAATCCTAAATGGGTATCAAGAACCGAAGGGCCGAAGGATGGAGGCAGAGGTAAATTGTGCATTGCTGTCTTTAAAAGTGAAAACTGAAAATAACGTCAATACTGTTTCTGTACAGGTAGATATGAGGTGTTTTGAAAAGCTAATACCCGCTGTGTTGAGCAGAGTGTGGAGGTGTAAATGGTGTGCTGGAATTCACATGAAACGCGAGGTGGAGAGGGTGGAGAATGGACGATAAGGAGCTAAGAGGCTGGCAAAACTAGGACGTTTACCCACAGTGTGAGTGTGCACAAACTTTCCAGGCGTCCAAGCTTGTCGTGATGAAGGCCAAATGTTGGAAATGTTACTTTCCAAAATATATGTTGTTCCTCCGTGTGCTGGTAGCCTTTCAGAGCATCCAGTGGGCTGTAAAGCTTACAGTTGGGTACTTTAAAACAGCCTGAATGGTCCTGTGTGTAGATTGTACATAACAAACTTTCCCAACTCTCTGTCGAGCAATACGCGAACTGAAGGGTTGATAAGTGGACTACCACAACATCCTCCCCAGTGTTGCACAGTGTTTAGAGTAAGACATGGTTGTATTTGTTGGAATTGGGCAGAGACCTGAGGGTTTTGAGCTCTTGCAACCTTGTTAACCCACCTCTGAATTCTCCAGAAAGCTCACACATTGAAAAAAGAACACAGCTAGTGCAAGACCTGACGTGCTTAGTTGAGTCAGGCAGGAACAGACAAGTTCCTTTAAGCAGACTTATTTCCCCGAACCAGCCCGCCCCTCTTAATTAAGTTCAGTCCTGAAAGACAGTGAGGGCTCAGGTCCAAGTCTAAACAGCCCAAGGCTCTCAAGAGCCCACGATTGTCCCGATCACAACGTTGAGTGTCCAATTATGACATCATTACTGTTCAATATATGTGTGGATATATATATATATATATATATATACATATATATACACACACACACACATATGCAAGAGCAACTCTGTCTTTATGTGTTAAAACCTGATCATCTCGGCTTTTTCTTGTCAAGGTGTAGGAAAAGCGATGATGAAAACAATGGCTCAATATGTTTCTTTTGTCCTCTGTCCGTCCTCATTTCAGTCCACCGTTGTCACTCGTCTTGCTGCGTGGTTTTCATATATAATATTTCTTATTCGTATTTATATTTTTTACAAGGTATAAAACAGACCCATGGGCGTGACGGATTCATTGTTTGAAAACATCTAAGCGAGGCGAGGGGTAGAAGGGACAGAGGAGGAGAAAAAGAGGGAGGAAGGGGGAGGTTCTCCATCCAAGGCTGTCTTGTGATTTGTCCCTTGCTGGAGATTCTTTTAAAAAATAAAAAAAAAAGGAAAAAGGCCCCCCTCTTGATCCAAGGCTGATGAGGAGGGTTGGGTGGAGGTAAAGAGGGTTCAACCCCTCACCTCTATTATGTCATTTGATGTGGGGCTTCTAGCATCTCCATAAGGAAGGTGTCAATGGGCGTGTCGCCGATGAGCTTGAAGAAGAACAAGTGCTCTAGACACTTAAGACCGATGGAGCGCAGTGCAGGCAATCGCAGCAACAGCTTAGCAAATCTGTCACAACACAAAACAAGAACTTAGCACAGGATGAAAAGCTGAAATAATTTTAAAGTATTTCTAAGCTTGCAGTTTCAGGGGCATTAGTTTTGGCATAAATATGCACCTTGTCATAAGCAGACGCTCATCCATCCAGCTGCAAGTTATGATTTAAGAGAACTGGTGATGCTTGCACACACAGGCCTCACATTAAATATAAGACTAAGAAAAACCTAACTGTTTTGAGCAAATGGCAAAACTTCAGTGCAAAACTATCACACAATAATAATTTTAATAGTTTTTTATGCAGCTGTAGATGGGTTTCAGCAAACTTTCAAGCTGAAAATAGCCACGAAAAAGCCACAGATGTGCCAGAAACTGCAATGCCTGAAACAACCACTTGAGGCTGATTCCAAAAGCTAACCAGTCCCCATATACCCTCATGATAACATGCCCAACATGTTTGCAACCAAATGTAGCAAATATCTATACCCCCCTTGTTTTTGATGACCAAAATTGCCATCCCATTAAAAAATACACAATGAATTAGTATAACATAAATCAAGCTTATAATATAAGTTAAAACATCATCTACTGTATCAACTCAACTAATACGGTCACATTTGGCTTTAAAAAATCCAGAAATTCTGTCAATGATTCATATACCAATTCACAACATCAATTTTTGATATACAGTCTATGTCAAAACTGATAACACGGTGAACTCAAAGCTACTGATAAAACACATTTCTTGTGTGGATGTACTTCAAGCTTTTTTCTTTGACTTCTACCTCATGAGAGGCTGTCTGGGTTGAGACTTTAAATATTAATAACAGCTGCAGCAATAAACACACTCGTGCTCTTGATTTTCTCAGCACCGCAAACAGGTAATGTAACAATAAGGGCTCGGTGTTTATGATCTTACCTGCCAGGCTGCTCTGGGTATTTCTGTTTGCAGTAGGCCTCTAAAGACGCGTAGACTTTCTCTCTCAGAGCTTCTACTTCGCCTGGGTTGGACAGACCTTTAGAGTCTGCGGAGAGTGGCAGAAAGAACAAAAGAATTCACTACACCACGTGGCTAGGCTGTGCTGCTGTTATTTGTACACAACTGGACATTCTTCTTCTTCACTATAAAAAGAAAAAAAAAACCCAAAGAAGTAAACAAGTAGGCGTGAAAAAGCTTTCAAATCTGCACTTGTGCCCAGTGGAAAACTAGCATACCTCAATATGGAAAAGCATCTCCACATTCTGGGCTAGTCCAATTAAGACCACAATTCTCAAGCTGCACCAATTTAAGCTTCACTGGACTCATCTTTGATTAACATTTCTGACGAACAAAGCATTGTGAAGTTGACAAACAATGAATGTACATTGGTTGTTAATGGCTGGACCAGATCACACAGTGTGGGAAAGAAAAGGACTGAGGGCCATTTTTGCCTTGCTGTTCCCTCCACCCCCACCGCCGTATGTTTTTTTCCAGTCAGTGTAGTCTTGCAAACCCCTAATTAACAAGGAATCAGGCGGAAAAGTGAACAGGGGCCAGTGGGTCTGGGTATGGCCTGAACAAAATGTGAAACACAGAGGATCAGTGTGTCCGGGGTGAGCAGATCCGCAGAGCCCCAGAGAGATTCAGGGAGCCTCCCTTATTGAGTCACTAAAAACCTGGGTCACATTCATGGGTTAGTTCAGTCCACTTAGATTCCATTTGGATAAGGTTTAAATACAGAACAGCACACTCATAGCAGAAGTGCCTTGGCAAGACACGGGCCTCAATTAAAGAGCGCACTCTTTCTTTGGACCTTTGCGGGGGAATGTAGTAAAATTTACACAAGGTTGTCAAATTACAAAATAAATGAGAATTCATCAATTTCAAGTAAAAATGGTGCTTTTTTTGAAGTCTTGAGAGAATCAAGGTCAACTCAAAGAGATAGTTTCCATTACAAGCTGAGATACCAGAGCTGAGACATAAGTTATGCACAACGCAACAGCAAAGCCAAGAGTAGCTGGAGTGATCATATGAGATTCAATCAGTGAAAAAAGAAAAAAAAGAAAAGAAATTGCACTTCAGGATAATATTCTTCCTTGAATCTAAATACGTTATATTTACTTTTAACAAAAGTCTAGCAGCATTTTGAGACCATTTCCCCAATGTGAAAAGTTGTTCCCACTGGAATTGATTAAAGCCAAATGAAAGCTGAGCCAATGAGGATAAGACACATTTGTCATGTTCTATTTTAATCCTGCTGTGGGATAAGGTTTAATAATCCAAGTTGAAGAGTTTGTGTTGACTAAGCGTTACGCTTCGAGTCCTCAATGACTCATATTCTATTCCAGCAACGTCTGTGTCGGCTGATTATAGCTACAGTGCACAAGGTCTTTATACTTTTAATAAAAGTTGCATTTCACTGGAATACGCTGATGTTCAGAAAGAAAAAAAAAGCCAGTATAAAACAATTGCTCTGAAGGAAGAATTACACAGTGCAGTAGTTTGATGACCCATTTCTCTAAAATGGGTCATCAATTTAGATTTTTAGTCATTTTAGATTACTGAATAATTTTTTGGGTTTTTTTTTTAAATAAAAGTTGAAACTAAAAAAAGGAGAAAAAAGAAACAAGAGTTTGCATTGCACAAACAGCAAATGAAAGTTTTTATATAATATACACAATGGTTACCTGGGTTGAAAAGGACAATAGCTCGAAGGCACCCCAGTTCTGTCTTATCCATCTGCATGTCCCTCATCTTTGACACCAGCTCTGTCAGCACTCTGCACAAAAGCAACAGGAGACAGTCAGAGATGCTACTCAGGTTAAAATACTATGTCAAGAATATTTAATTCTTGGCTAATAGACAATATTTGTGTAAAATGAAACTAAACCAGTGGCAGAAAATTAAAGATCACATTTAACTGGATTATTTTTTTTTGCAAATGACACACTATTCTTGACTGGTGCATTGCAAATACAGTTTTAAGTTTGCCTCTATTTGAAAACACATGCACACAAGCTTACTCTGAGCCCACACTGGCACAGTTAGATCAGTGGAAAAGTTTACAGCCCTGCAAAGTAATTATATTTAGTACATGGTTTTCATAAAACGAAAGCCGCAGAGTAAACACAAGCTGTAATCTAACACCAGTGCTCCCACTGTCTGTGTGTGACATCACGGGTGGGAGTGGTGGCGTGTGGAGTCGCGCGAACTCCTCACCCCACTTTGACTCGGTCACACCCTCTCCCTGGCACTCTTTATTTTCCCTCTCACTCCGTTTCTTTCTGCTCCTCGCGCCCATATAGTAAAGTCAATTGTGGCTCTTAGCTCATTCTAATTCAATTTGCTCTAAGGAGGAACAACAGAGCTTAAAAAAGACAGAGAGGGAGAGAGAGAGAAAAGGGACTCAAGCGTTTAAGTTGATCAGTCTCTTCATTTGTATGGAGAAGAGACAGTGGACCAGATAAAGATGCATTATCAGTTCTCTGCATCTTAACGCTTGCCACAGTTAATAAAGAGATGGAATATGTCCTGTGGCTGTGAACGCTGATGACTGAGCGCACAGCCTGCTGATCAGAGGCGCAAGAAGGGAGACACAAAGAAAGTACTCAAAGTTTGACTGTGGCTTGACTGAGTCTGATGACAGCACGTGCAGCTGCAAATTCTCTGCTGGCTCCAAAACTGTGCAAGGAAACATGCGCTTCATTTGCAGTTTTTAATTTTCAAAATATAATAACAATCCATGACCGGAACTGTTCAAGAGTAATGTAGTTTAAAAATATATATATTTACAAAAAATCCCAAACCAATACAAACAAAATGTAAGATATATTTTGCTTATACGTTTGACAAACTTCCATAAGGGTGGTTCCTGCATCCAGCTGCTCTGTGACTCTATGGTGCATGGATTGTCTATATAAGATATGAGAGGTTCTGTGTGACCCCTGTTGTGTACAGGCGTAAATATTTTATATATTGGAGTCAATCAATTGTGCCTGTGCTGCTTGGTTTTCTGTAAAGCCCACCTGCGGTTTACAGTATTCTCCATTTTGTGTAATATTTCATTGTTTCGATTAAATGTTACATGAAATATTCTACAAGGGGTGGACATTTAATAGAATTTTAATCTCGATCAGAATTTTGTTTTCCCACAATTATAACATTTAAAATGCATACTCTGCCAATATAAAATGCAAAGCAAAAGCAATTTAGGCACTCTCTAAATCAGCACTTGATCATGTGTCTGTGTTTGCCAATCACAGCTGGTCCCTGCAGCACAAAGCTTGAAGTTGGACTAAAAGACAAATATACAACAAAAATCCAATGTCTGGCACAGCACAAAGCAAGGAGCTTGTCTCTTGAATTGGATCAATATCCGTTATTTGGATTTTGGGGCAAGTGATGTTAAGAACAAATCATAATGGAAGAATGCTGTGAAAGAGTGCTGCTTTGCATTGCAGATGCAACTGAAAATACGCCACAAACTGCAGTATAATTAATGAATTAAGGCCAAGAAAAACAACTGCCGATGTAAATTGTCCAAGTGCCAATTAAAGGAAGCCTGTACAACAGCGTGTACATCCAGCTCACAAAGACACACTGGAATTGTTAGTTATTATCCCAAATTGGCAATATTTGTGCTGTATCAAAACCTCATGGGGTTTCACAGCTGGCAAAGACTTTGCTCTGAGTTTTAGTCTGAGTTTCTAATGCTAACGTGTTATCAGTAGAGAGACTGACCGATACACTGATGAGCCGATATTATTGGCTGATTTTACTCATTTGCCATTATATTGATATCAGTATTTTCAAACAGCCGATAAATAAAAATTTAAAAATATATGAAGAAACAGGAGAACTAACTTTAACCATGTTACGAGATTGATGCTGCATAGTTTGTGCACCAGGGGGCCCTCTACAACTTCTCTAATGCAATGTGTTTAGACCGCCAAATCATCACAAAAGTTAGGCAGAGAATAAACGACTAATCCAAATGTTTTTGTAACAATGAAACAAGTTTATTTTTACATTTCTACAACATCTTAGTAAGGACTTATAAATAAATACATCTAACAAATGTTTTGTGTCCCTCGATGTTAAACAAAATATCGGCTGATACTAAATATGAGTATCGGTAAGACTCTAATACTTTTTTAACTCTTTAACTTTTATTAACTTAAAAAATAGGCCACCTTTATAAATCACAATATTATCAAAGCACTACTTTCAGGTTGCATTACATGCTACTCGAGCACACCTTTAGAAAGTGCTACCTAATATATTATTTATAAAAGTTTTTGGTGCAGTTTCTACATGAATTTAGATGTCACTAAGTCCAAGAAAATTTAGTAACCTGTCAAAGATGGCTCCCACTCCGGCACTGTGGGCGCTGTTGCGGTGAACGTGCAGCCCCGTTGCCAACAGAATCCCGTCTTTAACCGCTATCGAGCGGTGCGAAAATGATGCAATGAGGAGCTCGTTCCAACCTGAGAAAGAGATGAGGAGAGGGACTGAGAAAAAAGTATGAGAAATAAAACCACTCACACTCTCCGAAATCCCCAGTACAAAAGTTCACACAGCATTCGAGCAAAATGAAACTGACAACAAAGGAGGGAATTCCAATGAATCAATTAAGCTGCGCACTAAAAGCATGCAGCTTTCTCAAGCACAGGCATCAGGTTATTACTAAGACATTTGAATCATGCTTTCTAAAGAGACAAGCGTGTAAACGGGATGAACTGCGCCTGCCATCGCAATAAAGACAACAGGCTTGATGCGCCAAAGCAGGGGGCTCGACACGGAGCGCCGAAGACACAAGACGCTGCCGTTTGAGTGACAGGGCTCCTTTAACTGTTCTGCCTGGCAACACTCGCCTCTTCTCCCCAGAGTTGAGTTGGGTATGAGAGGAGCCGGGATGCTTTTATCTGTGATACAGCAGAACTAAAGCGGTTATTTATAGAAAACCTGAGAGCAGAGACGAGCGTTGCCGAATAATGTCTCTCTCTCTCAGCTTTGCTCCATCTTTTTATATGTGCAAAGGATAAGAATGATGGGAGGATTTATTTATTTTATTTGTTTTTTTAGGGTAAGGGATGGGTGCATTATAGCATTTTTTTTTCCTGGAGGAGGATTTAGAAAATAATGGTGTAATTTAGAGTGACAGGCAAGCAACAAGGGCAATGTGTTGGGAGAACCCAAAAGACCTTCCTGCATGTGACGTTAGTGACTGTAGCAGAAGTGACAGATGATTCACTCTCCGTTTTACGTCGCTGCTTCTGTGATGCTTGCTTTTCCTCATACAGCAGATGCACGAAGAGACTCTGGGTCTGTCTCTTGCATCAGTCACATGACCGAGAGGTATCCAAGGTTATGGCCAGAGTAGTTTAGTGTTCTCTTTTTTTCTGACTATATTATTAATGTTCATGGGCATCTGTTGTATCTACAAATGTGACTTATTTAACAATGAAAACAATGTCCTGTGATTCTGTTATTTTTATTTTTGTTTTGTTTAACCCTTGTTATTTTAAACAGCAGCAATTACTTGCCTTTTTAATACACAGTCAGTGGGCATAATACAATACATCTTACACTGAGTAATCAGTGGTTTGTTGAACCAGCAAATTAGATTAAATGTATTCATATAACAATGACCATTGATTCTAACCCATATCCTGTTAATTATATATCATCACTGCCAATCACTGCAAATTGTTTGCTGGTTAGATCATGCAAAATACTTAAGTCAGCTCAACAGACCTGCTCGTAGAAGGATGACCTGGTCGTCCAGCGGCAGCTCAGAGAAGTGGGGGATTCTTTTAGCCCACTCAACCAGGGTAAAAAGTTGTTTGTCAGCTGCTTGACAGATATTTGTCACTGGGTCGTTGGGCTGCAAGGGACGAGAGACAAAGATAGAACAGGTTAAAATAAGTCAGAAAATCAACTACTGTGTGAATTAAATAAGATTGAAATTTTAGTTTTGTGTCTTTTGGCTGAGAACCTTGTGCTAGGGCATAATTGAGCTACAGTGCTATGAAAACGTATTTCCCCTCCCTTCCTGATTTCTAAGTTCTTTTGCATATTTCTCACACTTGCTACCAATGGTGGTACAACCAGATATTAGGGGGCAATTACTTTTTCACATGGTGCAAGGAAGGTTTAGATTTCCTTAACCTTTTAAAGCCAAGCGTATCGTATTTGATACATGTGTTTTTGTGAGTTTTTGAGACTTCTATATCATCAGCGTGACTTTTTTAACCCTATAAAATATAATTGGCATTACACATTTTTAATGACTAAATTGCAAAAATATGGCTAATGTAGCAAATGTAATACAAATTAAAACTCATACATATGCAGATTAAAATTTGATATATCAAATATTTATATATATATTTATATCGAGAGATTTTCTATAGATTTCTGGCAGTTATTTCATGGTTCAGGTTTTAAAGGGTTAGTAAATTTAAATTATTGATTTTAAAACTCCTGTTGTATTTACTCAGTATATCTTTGTCTAATATTAAAATTTGTGTTATGATCTGAAACATGTAACTGTGACAAAAGTGCAAAAAAATAAGAAATCAGTAAGGGGCTTTTTTCATGGCACTGTACCTATAACTACGTAATCACACACACACTGACACCAACATGAGTGCTCGCCGTGAATAATATCTTCTAAAGAGGTATGGCGAAAAAACAAACAGTGATTCTGTCTCAGCTTGTGGAGGAAATACCTGCAGAGAGCTGTCAGTGAAAAAACAACTTTCGCTGAGCTGACTCTTTCTTTGGGGACCTTTTAGCCAAAACACAAATCAGCCTCTCTGACAGCTAGTAGAGCTCAAGAGGCCCTCGAGAGGCTCCACTGACAGAGCAAGTGGTTAGGAGCTCAAAGAGGACTTTATCACGGCACCAGGAACGGCTTTGTAAAATGTTAAACCAATGTGCTCACAGTAGTGCTTCTAATAATGATTGTGTAATTATGCTGATAATCATGTGACCAAATTCATATACCAAGAAACCTTCTGTTGTATTGTCTGCTGAAAAAAGCTGACATAATATAAAAATTTCAAAAATGTTTTAAGCTTTTAAAACATATTTTGGAAGAAGTTTGCTTCATGAAATAAGCAAACTGTTCTAGAAACTGCTGGCTAATACATGTTACAGTATATGTTACTATTCTTTCTGTGAAATAACAGTTTTCTTTTGAGTCCTAAATTATTAAATAAAAGTTTTCATAGGAGTCCTGTGAAAACTAAGTACACCCTATAATTCCCTAGCTTGTAGAACCACATTTGGTTGACTCGTTGCTGCAGTTCATTAAGAGCATTTGTTTATGCACAGCTCTCTTTAGGTCCCACCACAATATTTCAGTTGGGTTGATATTTGCACAGATTTGTGGGCCAATGCAGCAATTGAAATCTTTTGTTTTTCAGCCAATCTGTTGTGGTCTTGTTGCTGGCCAGTTATATACGACCAAATTTTGGTCATAACTGGAAGCTCTAGCAGTCAGAAAAAATGGCCTCACATTTCATCGTGAGTTCATCGTTGACCCAATGACAGAAAGGTCCCCAGGTCAAATCATCATGCCTCCACTTCTTTTCTTGACAGTTGGTATGAGGTGTTCTGTTTGGTTTTCACCAAATGTGATGTCGTGCATTATGGCTAAACACTCTGTCCAAATGGCATTGCTTGGGGTTTTCGTCTCAAGGTTTGTTCAATTGCAACCTCACGGACCTGAGCCATTCTGTCATGTTCTTTGAAGAGTGAAGAGGCCATACTTGTTCGGTCTTTTGTTATGAACTTCAACATTTAGCACGCTAACTGAGGCCTGTCTGAGATCTTTGTGCAGTGCATCATCTGTCCTTGGGGTGATTTTGCTGGGACGTCTGCTCCCCACTGGGAAGACTGTGGTATTGTGTTAACACGCACCTGAAAGCTCCAGACCGGCAAACTGCCAAAATTGCTTTTATAGAAGTTGTCATAGCAAGCACCAAAAGCAAAAAAAAAAAAAAACCATGTCCATTGATAGACAACGCAGCATACAAAATTTAATTCCTGAAAACAAACGTTTCCCGCTCACCAAAAAAAAGAAAAGGAAAAGAATGTGTGCATCTTTTTGGCTTTAGTCAACAAAATAATGGTATGAGCCTAAATAAATGCATTTCTTTTATTTAGAGCTTATTTTTTAACATACAAACTGAAGTTGAGGTGAAAACAAAGCCAGATTTGATCCTTATCTGCTAATGTATATCTAATGATAAGTGTGTCCTTTATAGAAGAAGACAACTTCTGCATGCAATGAATGCAAAATTGCAAATACAAGGACTTGTTCTCCTTAACTGTCCTGTCACATTTGATTCAAAAGTATTGTTCTTTGACCCTTGGGGAGTAGTGGTAGAATACTAATGCAATGCATACATGCTCCATGACCAACTCAGTAAACTGTAACTCCATCTGGGCTTTGGGTTAAAAAAATCCACAACAATACTGCCATTCTCTGACAAGTAATTCACAGCCATCCCAAGAGTACACATGCTACTCTTGATATGCGTGTGTGTAAACAAAGGCTTTGTGAACATGCTTTTGTGCATAATTTTAAATCAAGTCAGCATCCCTAAATTCTAAGTAGCTCCACATGAACTCGCCCTCTGACAAAAACAGTTAGCAACTTCTCCCCAACTTCTCCTCCAAATCCCACAGATCGATGCTAAAAGCTAGGAGGATCCTGACATCAACTGCAGCTCTCCAGAGGAGATTAGCTCAAGATGAAGGAGAAAATATCTCTTCACTCACATTCTCCTTTTATAAAACACAGGGCAAAGACTATCCCATCCTCTCCACTACATTCCCTCCCTGCGGTGTGAAACTAACACACTGACTGCAGAGCATCGCAAATACGCAGCTCAAATCTGAAAAACTTAAACCAGACACAAAGCCTACACTGTTTTGAAAACTGTAAGTCATCTTGTTTTTTTTTTCTTCAGGGAGAGAAAGAAAACAGGCACCTTATGAATATTTCAGCATCTGATCTCCGTGGGAGATCTGGACGCCGCAGCTCAGTACGACAGTTTTCGTGAACTGCGCTTCCTCCCCAAAACATAAACAGATCCGGTTAATTCATTCCAAAGGGCACAGCCCAGCAAAAAACAAATAAAAACCACAGGGGGCTTCAGCGTGCGCCACAATTGAGCCACCGCTCCCCGTAAGAATACAAGTCCCAGGGTTCTCGTTAAACATGGCAAGCCTTATGAATGTTGCATGGCTATCTTAGCTGTGTTTACACTGACCTGGTTTCTTTGTCACCGTCTGTGAAGATGACGAGGAGAGGAGCTTACAACTTCCTCAAACAATTCTCGGGCATTGCATCTACTGTACTTACTGTTCAAGCCAAAGAGAGGACTTTGGGATGTTATCAGCCCCTGACCCATGAAAGGATAACCTCTACAGTTATAAAAAAAAATTATCTCACAGGTCAGATAGAAAGACTACTTCTTTTTCTTTTAATTTGGAGATTAGTGGCAAAAAAATGTGGAGGAAAAACAGCAAGAACACCAAAAAACCCACCTGACACAGAGAGTAAGGTCATAAACGGACATTTACTGTTTTTTTGTTTTTTGGGGAGGTTGCTTATTTAGGCATATTTTTTTTTATACGTCTGCCACAAACAAAACTGTCTTCAATCTAGGCAAATCAAAGTGTTTATAGCAAGACACCCTTCCACTGCTGCGGTCGATTACTAGAGCAACTTGCATTCTTCCCTATGAAATTTTCATGGGGAGACGAAAGATTTGCCCTTCAGTCTTTCATTATTGTGCTTGAACCACACTGTACTAGAGTGACAACAGAGAGAAAATTGGGTACTCACACAGATCAGGATAAAAATGAATTACTCAAGTATCCCACTTTTTAGATTAAAAAACAACAACAAAAAAAGCCTTTCTTCATATGTCATAATTATAGTTAACAGAAAGATAAGACCTTTTATTAAAATTATCCATAAAGTAATTCAAATATAGTAGAAATAACAGCAAGAAATAACACAAAAAAGAAAGACAATGGGATGTATAAAATGGAAGTAAACCCTAAGGATTAGTGAATGATAACATTTTCCCCTCTGCCCTTCCTACTTAGAAGAAGACCTCTCTCTCACTGACTAAAGGCATATTACTAACGACTGTTTAACTCCTGTTCTAGGTCAGCATGAGATAAACACACTTTATTCAGCTTGGCCAGACCCCGACCATTAGACAGTGGCGGTGGCCTATTCATGGTGTACACTCATGACCCAGGTCATGTGATTAATTACAACATGGAGCACTGGTTCTCAATGGAGACCTGGTAGGGGGGAGGCAGGGGAACAGCATTTGGATAGCAGAGGAGTCCTTGTGGTCAGGACAGAATGCATGCCAAGCCTCTGCCAACATTGCAGGCTTCACTTCAATTAAAGGATCCGCTCACTCAAATCAAAAAACAAAATTAGATTTCATTTTTTATTCCTCGCCATATCCAGCTATACTTAATGTCCTGGTTTAGGGTTTAGGCTTTATATACAGTAGTGGCTAAGAATTTTAAATGCCCACCACAGCCCAGGCTACCAATACCTGGTTGGTGGACAAACTGAGTGACACCAATTGTTGCTAGGCATCTCCTACCAATAGCCTGGAATCCAGTTCACCTTTGTGAGGTTTTCCGCTGCTTTCATCATTATGAAGAAGCCCTGTGCCACTTTTATATATATTCACATATATCTTACAGTAGCTTGGTAACATTAAGTGCAAACACAGCTAACATTATGAAAGATTTTTTATGGTTGAAGATAATTAAAGAACAACTTCATTTATTCTTCTGGCAACAGTGTTTAGCCTTGTTAGACACTGTTACACTTTATCTTTTTGCTAAGCCCATTGACTAGTATGATGACTTTGCCTCTGGGGGCAGTGGGGATTTTTCACGGCTTCCAGTGTGAGGATATTGGACTTTCTATTCTATTAGCCACTCACTGCTCATGAGAGCAGATTCAGCTGATAAATATTTAAATCTCTAACAATTCGCGAGATTATATTTCGATAAATACCTTCCCTCTGTCTTGCTTTCAATGCAGACATTTATTTTGTTTATTTCCATGCATCGATTAAACTTCGGCTACAAACAGACAACAAAAAGAAACCAAAAAGCTCTTGACCCTTGATGACCCTGAATATTTGTGTATTTAACAGGCAGATATCTGTTTGTAGCTTAGAAGGTAAAGGAAGGCGACTACCAATCAAAAGGTTAGTGGTTTGATCTCCAGCTCCTTCACTTCACATGACCAAACTCTCCTTGGGCAGAATACTGAATCCCAAATTGCCTTTGATACATTCATCGGTGTAATGCATTACATTTAATTTTGAAAACTATTTTCAGCATATTCATATGATTCCAATATGATTTTGCTCAGGAGTTGGCAAAGAATACATTTAAAGCAAGCCTTTAAACACTTTCACTGCGGTTTTCTAATCTGTTCTGGAGGCCCTTAGAAATCTTCCTCTTGGTGTTGGGCAGGCAGCGGGCATCGAGGGACCCAGCGTGGCAGAGCCCAAACACTCAGTGCATTAGTATGTCTGAGCTGCTAGCTGCTCCCCCATGAATCCCTACTCCTACTTCCTCTCCCTATAATGCCAACGCTCATCTCCTACATTTCCATCTGGCCCCCCGAAAATAGCTCCCATTTACTCACATAACAGCCTTCACATTTCTACCTTTACTTCACAAGACATTTCCTTCCCCCGAAGCAGATGAATCCCAGAAGAAGTCCCCTCTCTCTCCCTCCCTCATTCAGTCTCACTCTCCCATCTCTCCCCCCTCCCCGCCTCCTTTGGTAGGCTTCTGCACAGCTCCTCTGTTTCCCATGTTTCCCAGCAGAATTCCTGAGAAAGCTGAGGCTTTGTGGTATGCTTTCAGGAACAGTCTGTCTGTTGCATTATTCATCACTCCTAGTCTCCACTGTGTCAAAGACAGCCCACAGTGCCCAGCTGATACTAAGGGGCATATATGAGGAAACACACAGCTGAGTGAAGGAGCTAATAGACCAGGTAAGCTAGTTCCTGAGTCCACAAGTGGTAACCTAAAACGCCCCAAAGGAGAAAACAAAGTTATTTATATTTGATATTCAGTAACATGTCTACCATCAGGCAGCAGGTAGATGAGAAAAACAGCCGCAAGCTTTAAAAAACAGGGAACTAAAATGTGTAATTTATCTAAAACATGGTTGATGTGAAACATTACTACAGCAAGCATATCCACATGCAGGCAAATCTGACTTGACTTATACGTTTGGCACTCTTCACTGCAGAACTGAAATACATGAAGCCCTCGCACATGGAAAGAATTAAAACAACTTGTGGACAATGGTGGAGCAGCTCCAGTGAGTCTTTTGAAGCATAAATTTCTAAAATATAACTCATAAGCCATAAATCTAAAAGTTTTATATTTGTACTAACTGCAAACCACTACATTTAGTATTTAGCATGCATATGCAGAGATTTTAAGTTGCCTTTTAACTGAGATTCATTGTATTTACTGTCCAATACCTAGGAGCTCCTAAGTGAAAGCTGTTGGGAAGTTTTCACATTTAAGAAAATGACAAAAGAAAGAAAGAAGTCAGACCACAGATGTTGTGTTTTTCAAGCTTCCAGTCAAGATGTTGAAAACAAACTAAATTGTGAAAAATACTGAGACTGACACAGTTTTAAGCAATAAATGCAATAAAAAAGACATTTTGACAATAATTTAAACAGTAGAGAAGATCTATAAATGAATCAACCTGTGCTTAATGCTAAGGCATTTTTATTGACAGCTAATTTCCAGCTAATCAGAAATGAATACTTAAGTATGACTAGTACCACTGGTATAACAATGGTGCATATCACTAATTAGTGTGAATGCTGAAAAGCATTCACAGTATTGTTATTCTTAAAGTGACAATTTCAATAAAAAATGCCAGTTATTTTAACTTAAATGAATTAGAAAAATGTATTATATCATTAAACAGTGCACGACTGGATGGGTCTCGCTTATTCAAAGAAAACAAGCCTATGGTGTCCATTAACACACACAAGTTGGCTTTGGACCAAGAGAAACTCTGATATGATTGTGACACATCAATCTTTCATGAACTCACTCACTTTAGCCAGACTGCAACAAACCCTTCCTCCTGCTACTGCTTAGTTTGGATAATGCGTTGATTATATTCCATTGCTGGCATGGATGCAGATAGCTGGAAACGGTGGAGTAGTTATATTTGTTATATTTCTTTGAAGTCCACCGACTGGAGCACATGCATAGCTGTAAACTAAATTCTCTGCAGAAAAGTCCATCAGGTCACAAAAAATAGACGGGCACTCGGATGTCCGTACGGACCCTCACGGTCACGTCCGATGATCAAATTTCTGGCACTTGGACACAAGTGGAACCGAGCAGACTCACAGACATGGAAAGCATAATAAAGGTTTAATCGGTGAGGAAGGAGAAATATTTGAATAAGTTCACATCCTCAAGTTGCAATGAACCCAAACCCGTTAAACTGAGAGATCATTCAGTCTGGACATTTGAATGAGTTGGATGAGTTTGGTTTTCTTGAGAACACCATTGGAATACTGAATGTCTTCAGGTGATCGTGACTGAAGCTGTGAAGCCAGCCAAGATGAAACAGTTGACAGATAATCATCCTGTCAAGTGAGTAAAATACTGAGAACGAGAAAAGAACTCAAAGCAGTAACCACGTATCAAATGGAGGTACTAAATAGGTGGAAAAACCGACCCACCATCCAAAGTAAGCCTAGATAAATCACTGTGTGTGCTCCTATGAGTGTAAATATATACATAAAATCATATCATCTGAATCTGCATTACACAAAAAAACTCACCGAGTTTGATGGCACACCGAGGTTGGTCTCGATGTAGGTCTCGGTTTTAGGTTCTACTGCTTCCTCGGCTTCCAGGATCTTCTCCACGGGCATGTCCTCGTTGGCGCAGCTGGTAGACTCCACCTCATTCTCATTTTTGTCCTTGGCTCGCTGGCGCTCCTCCTGAACGGCTGCATGTAACAAAACTGGTTTCGGTCACTACTGCTGTTTTACAAGGTCAGTATGTGATCAAAAACACACTTTGAAAGAAAGAACTGTTTTGACTGTGAAGCTTAGCAGCTGTTTTGGTTCACATTCACATTTTGGTTCAATGTGATAAATAAACTGTGCACTGCAAGTCCTGCAACTAGCGAACAAACATCTAGCCTGAGTCTGTTTTCAGTGCTGAATCTTCCCCTTTGATTAATCACTTGAATTCTTGCTGCGTTTGTGAGAATAATTGTCCACACTCGGCTCTACATCGGTAGTGTACTAAATACATATCTGGTGCTTGTTCATGGCTGCTTGTGCTTGCCTGTGTCTGTAATTTAGTGTTCGACATTAAGTGCATCTTGGTAAGCAACTGAATAGTTCATAACTCCGAATGTACAATGCCAGCAAAAACATAGCCGAGAGAGTTTAATCATCAATAATTGCTTCAGCAGTGAGGATGGAAAACAGAAAGACCTTGGGTCTGCATTATGTACAACAAAGCAGCATGGAAATGTCCAAGGACATCTTCCAGTTTCCTTATCAAAGATAAGTCTTTACGTAGTGCTCACTGACATACACAGATCATTTCTAGATACATAAATAACATTTGGCCTGTCGCTCTTTCGTTACACCATGAATGGAAGCCAGAATATCTAAAAAAAAAGTCTCAGCACAAATCAATGAAGACTTTATCGTGTCTAAAAACACATTCAAACGCAACCGTGCTGGTTCTGTCATCCGATTGGCTTGGCAAGCAGACACAGGAAATGGTTTGTGTGCCGAGCAGACACAGAGACTCACTGCGGCCGAGGCAAGAGAAACCGCACCTCCACCCTCAAGTGAGAATGAAAAAGACGCATGTCTGTGTGTTTTCCGTCTTTTCAAAGGGCTGTAATTCACTTAATTCAAAACACCACCGAAAAAAGTACTCTGGCTTTTTTTTATATGTTTTTCTTCCAGCCACGGATTAATAAAAAGCTCTTGACATAATGTGTTTTGTGATAAAGGGCTGTTGGAAATTT